TATATATATATCAAATGTAAATTTGTTCCATGATAAATTGCTATATTTATCAAACGATCGCCAAAAAACGCCTTAAATTGCGAATGTAATAATTTCTATAACGCTTCCCAATCTCAAACATCAATCTCTAGGAAACAAGCAAGCAGTAACCAATAGTGACTAACCGAAAATTTGTTGATCGTCTTTTAGTCCATCAAAGTCCCGCCGCTGTCACCGTGTGGTCAGCGAACTGGAAGCAAGTCGCGTTGTATTCTATTTCTATTAATCGGGCTGCCGGTAAGAAACACTCAGTATGGTTTTCTACAGCAATGTTCGTCCATAATGCCATCATTACCACAGCATCTTTTCTTCACAAACTTGCGAGACAAAAGGAGCAAGAAGAAAAAGAGATAAGTAACGAAAACATAACATACACATTGTCACGACGATAGTTTCGTGATGTTGCACGCTATGCGTCATTCGTTCATGCTAGCGAGATTATCGCCACGTTCATCGCGAGCTATCACCGTCCGCATGTGTCCCAATGCAAGTCATCAGGCACGTCATAGTACCGCACTTTGCGAACACAAACAATAATCTATCTGATCGCCGATTACAACGCAAGCTATTCCTCGCAGGACCGGCCATAAACGTTTTAAGCACCCCGTACATTCGGATTAAAGCCGGTATTCATAGTCGAATCTTATTTCAAGACCGTCTTATGGCTTCTGCACACAGGACGCGGTAATGCTTGCCACGCGACAGCCAGTCAATATGTTGTTTTTCCGTAAGAGCTAGAAGGTTATTACGGAAAGCAGCATATTGATTGGCTGTCGCGCGAACTTCTGCCGCGCGACAAGTATTACCGCGTCCTATGTGCAGGAGCCATTAAGCAATGGCTGCGTTCAGCAGAGAAAGCTACTTTGCAACTGTTGTAAAATTCGTGAATCTGATTGGAGTATGCTCTTAATTTTGGTTGAATTCAAGAGTATGTACCAATCAGGGAGTCGATTGTGTATCTCAAAACAGAGTGAAAATGACAAAAGTGAGCAAATTTACTAGAATATTTGTAACTTCATTGGTCAATGCCTAGTGAATTTGTTCACTTTTGTAATTTTCACTTCGTTTCGAGATACACAATCGACCCCCAGATTCACGAATTTTACACAGTTGCAAAGCAGTTTTCTCTGCTGAACGCAGCCAATATCTTAAGATGCGAATACGGCTCTGTGATTGGTTTATGACATCTTAAGACAGTACTTAAGATGATCTTAAATATAAGATCGGACATTCATATGTACTTGACCGGAAAAAAACTCCGGTTGGAAAACTATTCTTTTAAATCGTTCGTATGAAGAGTTTTGAAGTGCAAATGAAAAGATTTGTGAGTCATTCTACTTGTAATTAATTGTTCTTTTTTGAACCATGTATTGAGCCGGAAATAATGACCGGAGGTAAATTAAATAAAGATTCGGTATAGTATCGTTTGTATTTCATATGAAGAGTTACAAAGTATTATTAAAAAGGTTTGTGAGTCATCCAGATAATTTTAGTTAAATATTAAAAAATCATGTATTTGGCCGAAATATCGATCTCAAGCACTGCTGTGAAAGTACCGTCAGGCATGATCGGTGTACTATCTAGTATTTCAATACTCCTGGTTCTTTTTCGGGTAATTATTAGCGTGTTCGACTGGCCCTGGGTTAATCGCTCCGAGAGCGATTAATGACGTCTCTACTAGTCAATCATAAAACTTATAAATACTTGTTCGACCAATAAACGTAGACTGAATAACCTAGTGGGTTAACCCAGAGCCGAACATGCTGGGCTGCGTTCAGAAACCTTACTCGGTGAGTAGAGTAACATTTAATTAGCCAATCAGGGTAAAAAGAACTAAGATTTATTTATCATGATTGGTTTATTAAAATAACTCTATCCATCGAGTTGGATTTCTGAACATAGCCCTGTGAGTATAATAAGACCTTTTTAGAATTTTATTTATTATATTTTTTTGCAGCTCTTTTAGTAAAAATATTTATTTTGACTCCAACATTGATAATCAATCAGGGGAGTCCGAAAAATATGCAAGTTATATATTGTTATGCAAATGGTTCCAAACGGTTTTCTGGCTAACCTTCAGTTCCTGGGCAATGGAATAAGTGCTCACATGCCGGTCCGACTCGACGATTTCCATGATTTTATCGACATTTTCGACGATTGGCCTACCAAAACGTGCCTCATCTTCGACGTCCATATTACCAGAACGGAATCGTTGGAACCACCGCTTTGCTGTTGCATTCGATACTGTATTGGGTCCATAAACAGCACAAATTTTTTTGGCCGCTTGCTCCGCCTTTTCACCTTGGTCGTAGTGGTACTAAGGAATGTATCGAATTTTCTCTTTTTTTACCTCCATTTTGGAACGTTGTAACACACAACTGGCTTGACCAAACACAAAACTGTCACAGAACTTTTTTTGAAGCGTAATGTCACCTTTAAATCGCCGTATAGTATGACCCGATGCGATGTATACATCGTGAGATATGGCTCACTAAAGACATCTAGCGGAAAACGCTCAGAACTTTTTACTTCA